TTTAACCAAACGTTTGGTATTAATACAGAGATACTACTTGAATTAGGTCTTCACACTTTTCACTGTTGTATAATGTAATTATTCAGTTATTAATCGCATTAAGTTATTTTTCAAAATAATGATCAGAGAAGGGATTTTTAGTTGTTTTAAAAAACGTCCCGAAAAACACTTTTTTGTCTGTAGCAAAGCCAGTAATATTAAAACACCATTTGACCTATTTGACCTTAAAACTTTGTTACAATTTAGTAAAATCAAAAGTGGTAAATAAGTAAACTGATTTTACAGGACCTCTATAAGAGGTACGAAAATAAATGATACAATTTTAAGCTTATTTGTATCAATTAAACGGGGTACAAAATTTTGCTATCCTGTCTAACTGTAAGATTTAATATTTTTAATATTTGAAAATTGAGCATTTTTGGCAATTTTTGTTGCGTAATTGTGGTCAAGTCTAAAAGTCAAATGAAATGTATAGCATATCAAATTAATACGTTCGGTGTGTACTATAACATGATGTTATAATAATATTATACTGAGTTTTCTAGGAGTTAAGTTTTTTTAGACCAAACAATTACCAACATCTCCCGTAGATCTAACATTAAATAATGTAAAAATTATGCTAATAATAGTCTAAAACACAATCAAACTTTATTACAAAGTAAGTTCAATTAATCATTGCAATCATTTATTTGCAAATATTAAAGAATTTGCCCTTAATTTTATTGATTTTCTATTGATTTAGCTTGTAGGGAAATTTGTTTGATTTATTTTCCATAGGATTCCATAGGATTTATTAGTTAAATTCCTTTGGAATGCAGTGTATATACAGTAGTATATTCTATATACAATGTGTGTGTGCCTACAGAACTATAGTACCAGACTTTTGCGGACCGGATTACATGTAATTAAATATGATTATATCATGTATTGCTCATTTAATTTGTATAATAAATGAATACAAAACAATCTATCGGTACATGTAAAGTAAAGCACTTTATATATGCACTCGCTATAAACTTATATGAAAAAACCATTTCTACAAAAAGCTATGGATATTTAAAGCCCGAAATAATATGTATAATAATAAAACAACCCCTTAATAGGAAAATATTTTTGTTTCAAAACAGTCCGTTTCTAAAATAAAAAATATTCTATTATAATACAACTTTAGTTGTAAAGTAAAGGACTTTATATAGACTATAATATAGTGAAAACTGTGAGATGCCATCGTCTGAATACTGAATAAAATATGTAAACGTTAATTTTTGTTTAACGTGAGATTATAGCTTATAACTCTGGCTAACTTTAACATTAAACTAATTGTGTCCTATAAAGCAAACTTTACAGCAATGATTTAAATTTTGTTACATTTAACTACTGTATGTTAATAATACTAAATTCTATCATTTGCTTACATTAATAGAATATAGTTTATCCCATGAAGGATACAAATAATATTTAATTCCATCCATTGAACCTTCAAGTGTTACGCCTCTAATGAGTAAAATAAAAAGCACAAAATACGGCATCAATGCTGTGAACCAAACGGCCTGCTCATCAAATAAACAATATAAATCAAATCAATTAAGTATACAATTAATAGTAAATATGATGTTCACATCAAATACAATTAAATCTAATTAATCTATAAATATGTAATAAATAAATTACCTTGCCAGTACTCTTCACTCCTTTCCACAGCGAGAAGTATACCAAAATAAAAACCAACATCAGACAAAAAGCCAGAGAAAACTTAATTGGCCCAATCGAGTCAATACCACTAGATCTCTGAATTTCTAACACTTGCAATCTTTGAGACAAAGAGGAAAGTAATTATGGATCAAATGTGTGATCATTTCAATGGATACCAATCATAGAAATAAATTCTTTAATAACATATAAGTTTCGAAATTTTGGAAATTCCCGTAGAAATATAGTTAATAAGTACAGGAATTACATATTATTGGGTTTAGGGGTCATAAGAGATTCAAAGTATATCATTTTTATTTTCCAGAATATTTCCGATTTTGGCATATTGTTGGCAAAACTCCCGAAAAGCCTCTCTTTATGCATTTTTAAAATAAAATATCATTAAATATAAATAATTGTAAGTTAAACGATAATATCTCACTATATTATAACCTTGAATTATACATAAGTAATCAATGTTAATACCTATTCGTTTAATAACGAGAGTTTAACTTACAATTATTCATATATGTATTTTCTATCAAAATCATGACTTTAATTGATTTTAAGGGGAATTCACTCCTAATTATGAGTATTTTATATACAAATTGTAGAACATTTGTAATTTATGTAAAAAATATTCATTTATAGAAATAAACAATTTTTACATAATTTATAAAACTAAATAATTCTTACAAATATAATTAATAATTTTTGTCAGCATAAAATATATTTATTCAACATGGACCAGTGAATAAGACTTTTGAATATATTAAACAATCTTTTATAATCATTATGAAATATTCCGTCATTTTTCACATTTTTACGGAAAATTTTTTATCAAAAAATTTAGTTAAAAATTAATTAATTTATTAAAAAATTAATTTAAATCAATTAAGGGAGGTGTAATTTATAGGAAAAACAATTAAAAAAATTTCCGTGAAAATGTGAAAAATGACGGAAAAGTGGTGGGCCCGTGTCATCCGGGCCCACTTTGATCGGCATTTGGGTCGACCGATCGACCGTCAAAATATCAGTATTGCCGTACATAGAAAATATGTTATCCGGGCCCGGACCCTTTAGTATATGCCTGAAAATGTATATCTGAAAAATATAATATAAATATAATTTATCTACAGTTTCATATCTATAAATATATTAATTTTGTTAAGTAATTACTAAATTTAATTATTTTTAAAATAATATTTCTACAGGAATTGGTTATGCAATTTGTTTTATTGATTTGTATATGGGAATGTATTACAATACAATAATAGCATGGGCATTCTACTATTTATATGCATCATTGGCATCATTGGCAACATTTGAATTGCCCTGGATGAAATGCAATAATCCATGGAATACACCCAAATGCAAAACAATGGATTTACGAAGGAGTGGAAACGGATCTAATGCTGATGATGTCAGTCCCGCTCAAGAATATTTTGAGTACGTGTTCATTTGGATTCACTATAAATATTAATTTATTTAAATTGTAATACAGTATATGCAACCTATGCAATATAACATTATCATACTTTTAAATGATCATAAATCCTCAATTAGCAATATCTATGATTATTAATATTTATATTTCATATAACATTCTGGTTGACAAAATATTGGTTGAATATTAGCTAATAAATTAGATGATAAATACAGAATAAGCATTAGTATTAAACAAAATTAATTGAAATAATGTCAGGAATTATGAGATAAGAAAACTCATCAAAAATTATTTACAATTTATGCACATAAAAGTCTTACTATTATTAAACCTATTAATGTTTCAAAGAATATGTCACTTAGGAATTAATTCTATTTCAAACAAATATCATTTTGTTTTAAATGTGAAAGTCCTCTCTCTCTCTCTCTCTCTCTCTCTCTCTCTCTCTCTCTCTCTCTCTCTCNTCTCTCTCTCTCTCTCTCTCTCTCTCTCTCTCTCTCTCTCGATTCTCAAGTGACAATTTAAATCTTATATAATGTACAGCATATGTATTGACTATTTTATAGATGGAAAACATAGTACTGAATGTATGATTGAGATGAATGTTATATATTATGGTTGTGAGGATTGTTAAGGTTTTTCTCCATGACATCCATTTGGCGCCGACTGATAATGAGATCACAAATCGTTACAATAGTTATATGAGTCAACACTTATTCGTGCCTTTCCTTTAGTATTACTCTCAATAAATATCTAGGATTTTATAAAACTCTTAGAAACAAAATATGAGAATTAAAGCTAAAAGAGAATACGGACTTACAGTAGAGTAGTATAAGAATATGGTTAGTGAGAAACTGTAGATCTAGTTTAATAAAATTCCTTTTGATATTATATGTGTGATTTCATAATGATTATAAAAGATTGTTTAATATATTCAAAAGTCTTATTCACTGGTCCATGTTGAATAAATATATTTTATGCTGACAAAAATTATTAATTATATTTGTAAGAATTATTTAGTTTTATTTAATAAATTATGTGAAAATCGTTTATTTCTATAAATGAATATTTTTTACATAAATTACAAATGTTTTACAATTTGTATATAAAATACTCATAATTAGGAGTGAATTCCTTTTAAAATCAATTAAAGTCATTATGATTTTGATAGAAAATACATATATGAATAATTGTAAGTTAAACTCTCGTTATTAAACGAATAGGTATTAACATTGATTACTTATGTTACATAAGTAATACATAAGTTATGTATAATTCAAGGTTATAATATAGTGAGATATTATCGTTTAACTTACAATTATTTATATTTAATGATTTTTTATTTTACAAATGCATAAAGAGAGGCTTTTCGGGAGTTTTGTTAACAATATGCCAAAATCGGAAATATTCTGGAAAATAAAAATGATATACTTTGAGTCTCTTATGACCCATATATGACTCTATACCCAATAATATGTAATTCCTGTACTTATTAACTATATTTCTACGGGAATTCCCAAAATTTCGAAACTTATATATTATTAAAGAATTTATTTCTATGATTGGTATCCATTGAAATGATCACACATTTGATCCATAATTACTTTCCTCTTTGTCTCAAAGATTGCAAGTGTTAGAAATTCAGAGATCCAGTGGTATTGACTCGATTGGGCCAATTAAGTTTTCTCTGGCTTTTTGTCTGATGTTGGTTTTTATTTTGGTATACTTCTCGCTGTGGAAAGGAGTGAAGAGTACTGGCAAGGTCATTTATTTATTACATATTTATAGATTAATTAGATTTAATTGTATTTGATGTGAACATCATATTTACTATTAATTGTATACTTAATTAATTTGATTTATATTGTTTATATGATGAACAGGCCGTTTGGTTCACAGCATTGATGCCGTATTTTGTGCTTTTTATTTTACTCATTAGAGGCGTAACACTTGAAGGTTCAATGGATGGAATCAAATATTATTTGTATCCTTCATGGGATAAACTATATTCTATTAATGTAAGCAAATGATAGAATTTAGTATTATTGACATACAGTAGTTAAATGTAACAAAATTTAAATCATTGCTGTAAAGTTTGATTTATAGGACACAATTAGTTTAATGTTAAAGTTAGCCAGAGTTTTAAGCTATAATCTCACGTTAAACAAAAATTAACGTTTACATATTTTATTCAGTATTCAGACGATGGAATCTCACAGTTTTCACTATATTATAGTCTATATAAAGTCCTTTACAACTAAAGTTGTATTATAATAGAATATTTTCTATTTTAGAAACGGACTGTTTTGAAACAAAAATATTTTCCTATTAAGGGGTTGTTTTATTATTATACATATTATTCCGGGCTTTAAATATCCATAGCTTTTTGTAGAAATGGTTATTTCATATAAGTTTATAACGAGTGCATATATAAAGTGCTTTACTTTACATGTACCGATAGATTGCTTTGTATTCATTTATTATACAAATTAAATGAGCAATACATGATATAATCATATTTAATTGCATGTAATCCGGTCCGCAAAAGTCCGGTACTATAGTTCTGTAGGCACACACACATTGTATATAGAATATACTATATACACTGCATTCCAAAGGAATTTAACTAATAAATCCTATGGAATCCTATGGAAAATAAATTAAACGAATTTCCCTACAAGCTAAATCAATAGAAAATCAATAAAATTAAGGGCAAATTCTTTAATATTTGCAAATAAATGATTGCAATGATTAATTAAACTTACTTTGTAATAAAGTTTGATTGTGTTTTAAACCATTATTAGCATAATTTTTACATTATTTAATGTTAGATCTACGGGAGATTTTGGTAATTGTTTGGTCTCAAAAAACTTAACTCCTAGAAAACTCAGTATAATATTATTATAACATCATGTTATAGTACACACCGAACGTATTAATTTGATATGCTATACATCTCATTTGACTTTTAGACTTGACCACAATTACGCAACAAAAATTGCCAAAAATGCCCAATTTTCAAATATGAAAAATATTAAATCTTACAGCTAGACAGGATAGCAAAATTTTGTACCCCGTTTAAAAATAAGCTTAAAATTGTATCATTCATTTTCGTACCTCTTATAGAGGTCCTGTAAAATCAATTTACTTATTTACCACTTTTGATTTTACTAAATTGTGGCAAAGTTTTAAGGTCAAATAGGTCAAATGGTGTTTTAATATTACTGGCTTTGCTACAGACAAAAAAGTGTTTTTCGGGACGTTTTTTAAAACAACGAAAAATCCCTTTTCTGATCATTATTTTGAAAAATAACTTAATGCGATTAATAACTGAATAATTACATTATACAACAGTGAAAAGTGTGAAGACCTAATTCAAGTAGTATCTCTGTATTAATACCAAACGTTTGGTTAAATGCTTTTTGAACGCAGTGTATGGCAAAAACAAGGCATTTCGGCGCCTATCGCTTCCGTTAGCATTTATCTCATAGCAGGTACACAGTTGTACAGTCGGTTCCCTAACAATGCGATGTTGGGAAGTGGTATTAACCGATCCCGATGAAATTTATATCAGTGCATAGGTATTGGTGTATAGAAAACTGTGCTACAATGTTTTTTGTGCGTGGTGGGTTTAGGTAGCTTAAAATGAGTTTTGGTATAAACATTTGCATAGGGGCTATGGAGTGATAGCTGTGTATGCTTACAGTTAGGCTGCAATACAGTTGTATGCATTGCATTGCAATATTTAGTATATTCAATACTTACCAGTAAGTGTTGAATATACAAAATATTGAATACTCATATTTGCATGTATAATATAAGTTGTGAAATATATAATATTTATTTAAATTATAGGTATGGATAGATGCGGCCACACAAATATTTTTTTCGTTAGGGCCAGGATTTGGCACATTAATGGCATTGTCATCATATAATAAATTCCATAATAATTGTTACAGGTCATATTTATTGCGAAACCTCCTATGACATTTACATAACTTTTATATATAATTGAATTGATTTAGGGATGCAATATTTACGAGTAGCATTAATTGCTTGACGAGTTTTATTGCCGGTTTTGTCATATTCTCAGTACTTGGATATATGGCTCACAAAATGGATAAGGATATCAGTGATGTTGCGTCCGGAGGTTTGCATTCATTACAGTATTAGCAAGAGTTGTTCAAATTTAAAATGATATCATATTGTCATTAAGGCCCGGGACTTGTATTCATTGTATATCCCGAAGCAATTGCAACAATGCATGGCTCAGTTTTTTGGTCGATATTATTTTTTGTTATGTTGATAACTTTAGGCCTGGACAGCACAGTATGTAAAGCACACATTTTATATAATATACAGTATGAATGATTGAACATCAGACAGAACTTACTGTTAGCTATAAATTTTAAATAATAGTTTACAATTTTATTCTTTATGAATTTTAAAAAAATAATATTACTAAATATTTATTTATTTGAAATCAATAATAAAATCAGGAAGTAATTCTAGCCTTACTAACCAAACCTAATCACATCGAATGACTAAATTGTGTCTGGTTTCCATTCATTTAGTATATACATATATACATTTCTAAATAATATGAAATAATTGCCATTATTTGTATCGGAAGTTTGGCGGATTAGAGGCCATGATTACTGGTCTTTGCGATGAGTTTCCAACTCTATTACGACGAAATAGAGAAATATTTGTCGCTTTTATTACAACATTTATTTATTTATGTGCTTTACCCACAACTACTTATGTGAGATTTAATCTATTTTTATTTAATACTATTAATGCTTACAGTATAAGAAAATATTAATTAAAAATATTATATAATATACTAATTATATTGTATGTTAGGGTGGCAAATATATTGTAAATCTTTTGGATCATTATGGAACTTCATTATCTCTATTATTCATTGTATTTGTCGAGACAATTGCTATTTGCTGGTGTTATGGTTTGTTCATATTTTATACAGTCGTCTTCACAATCTATGCCCAACTCATTCACTTAATATTATTTAATACATGTATAACAGGTTCTTAATACATGTATATAAATTTATTATATTTTTATAAATAAAGATTTACATTTAGATTGGAAATATGTATAATAATTAGACTGACCAGATGAGTTTATGACAATCCTGGATTTTGGGCAAAAATCAGCCCTATATTCCTGGACATTTGACTAATTTTAGCTTCATTATCCTGGACGCCCCCATAGACTTAATGTTTAAAATATTTATAAAATTCTGGACAGGCCATCTAATTCCGGGACAATCCAGGCCATTTCTGGACATCTGGTCAGTCTAATAATAATATACAATATGAATCAATTGAGTAGGGTTGTTAACACGATTGTGAGATTTATACAAAAATCTTTCATATGAATTTACAAATATATATATAATTATTTAAAAATTTAACATTAAACTTATTTAACCAGGCTCAGAAAAATTTTCTGACCAAATTCAAGAAATGCTTGGTATGAGACCGGGAATATTTTGGCGAATATGTTGGAAATACATTAGTCCTTTCTTTCTTGGTGTAATTATTGCATACAATTGTTTATTGTGTTAATAACTAAAAGAAATATCTAATTATAATTAAAGGTAATATTTTTTGCCGCTTTATTTGAATACAAGAATCTTGTTGTTCAAGATTACGTGTACCCCAATTGGTCGATATTAGTCGGTTGGCTCATCACTCTCTCCTCCATGTGTTGTATCCCTTTATACGCTATTTATAAATACATATCATTAAGTGGTTCCCCTATTGAACGCTTTGTTAAATCATTTAAACCTGAGTTAAGTACTGATAATAACTGTAATAGATCTGAAATAAGAGCTATCAATCCGTTAATAAGCCATGTGTAATTTACCATAAATATGATCATATAGACAATTGTTTCCTTATAAATCACATTCTCAATATTACAATTTACAATATTATAAATTCATTCACTTATTATTCTATAAATTAAGCTAGATCCATGTATAAAATCCATTTACTGTATATTTTAATTTATTGTTTTGTCTTTTATCTTATAATTTAACTACAAATTCACTTAAATAAAGTTAATTTGAATTAATTATATTTATAATACACAAGCAATTATAAATATTTTTTTACTTTTTGTTTTTAATTATTTTAAGTATTTTTAAAAGTTGTTTATATAATTGAATTAGTCTTTCAACAACAATATACAGTATGTATTTATTCATATATTTTAATTTATATAGCATATCTATAAATCAAGTATACACAATACGAATAACAATAATGCACGCATATAAAGTTGGACAAAAATAAATAGAATTAATTTAATGATATTCTATATTATAATCTATAGTGTAATATAGTAAAATAATTCTGTTATTGTTACTTATTCTAATATGATCCAATTTAGTAAATAATGATGAATTTTATTTTATAATTTACTTATTGCAATTTGCTGTGGTCAATTATTAACGTCCAAAGTAAATCTGTTTTATTAAACTTCTTTTATTGACCGATTTTACCCTTATTTTTTATTTTAGAGTTAAAGTATAGAATTTAATGTACCATAAACATTGTGCTTTGTTCATTTAACAAATTCAACAAATTTTTTTAATAGCTGGACACATGTTATTCAGTAACTTTGTTAATTAAAATATCTATATAATAAAATTAAGACAATATTTAAATCTTAGTTCAAACCAAATAATTGTATTAATAAAGTAAAATAAGATTATGTAATTTAACAAATAGTTATAGATAAACCATAAATGTATTTAATACCAAGTTGCATTATTTCAAAAGTATTACTAAAATTTTAGTATTGTGCAATAAAATCTATTTGGATTATAAAATTACATTTTTATAAAATAGATAATTTATATTTTACAAATAACTAATAATTATTTAAATTATAAATTTATATTATCAAAAATTAATTTAATTAAATTGTTAGATGTTTAAAATTTTATTATTATCTCATGCCAACAAGTAAGTGTCTTATTCCGTTTATTGTTTTCAACTTTATTGAGAAGTATTTTATGAAAAATATTTAAAAATATTAATTATTTAACGTCAAAATATAAAGTGAATTATTTTTTAGTAAAATTTTCTATATAAATTAATAGTACAACTGAGTTAATGATATAATATAAGATGCAATAAATCATTTGTTTTATGTACTGTAAATGTTATGTGCTCAATATTTCTTATTTAGAAAAAAAATTAATCATGTTATGCAACTTGCATGAACCCATTAGTTTAACATTACAGATTTTTAATCGTTGGTTAAAATAGTTCAAATTATATTTATTTTGGCATGTGTTTATTATTTCAAAATAGTATTAGAGCACAAGACCCAAATTTACAACGAGTTATAACTATATTAAATAGAATATATCTATATTCTATTTAAAAAGAATTAAAATTGAATTAATTAATTGATAAACTTGTTTAATTTTAATAATAATATTTTTTGCAAAATAATTTTAAAATGTTTAACTTCAAATTTATGATAATATTATCATCAATGATTTTTATTGTATCAGGTAGGAAATATGATACTAATATATGATTTGAATAATATATTTAAAATATATTTGAAATATATCTCACTGTGAATTGAATGATACGATTATCTTAAACAGGAATTCCAATACTTCGTGAAGAACATGAAGTATACAACGATATGTTTAAGAATCACGTGGGCGTCAGTCATGTGAGTCATGTGAACAAAGACTCGTTAATACCGAACAATGCGGCCAAAGCTATACACCAGTGGTGGGACCTCGAGAGCAATGCCAGCGATGACCCCGAGTCCTATCAAACAGAACAAAAGCTTTGGAAACGACGCAAATATCACTCAATCGGACAATAATTCAATCAAAGTATTTAATTCTCAAAATAAAATTATAAACATTTTTCAATAATTTACTCATTTGTAATTACGGATACCTTGTCAGAGACTATATAACATAATGCAGTTATAACAATACATCCAATATAATAGTTACTTGCAAATATAAGTCTAATTCAATCATTTTGAGTTACGTAAAATTTACCGCAAGTATGCCACACATCGAATTAATTGCATCCAATTTGTAAAAATCGTATTAAATTACGTCAAAATTTATTTATTTATATTATTATTAATGATAAGATTTTTGTAAATTTATATTAAAATTATTAGTCAACTGGATGTTAATTTTTAAAATGTTTAAAATTATAGTTGACTTATTATCAAATACTTTATCCATCACTGTCTTTAAACTAGATAAAAATGTTACATTTATTGACAGATGATACAGTGCCCGCAAATGTGTAAAACTACGGTAACCCATATAAACATATACACGTATGATCGGCACAACTAATGACACAGGGGCAATTTGAAAGTACTTTTCGAGAAGTTAGTCTCAAATCATAAATCGATTGATTCACTATATTATTGAAATTGACCATAAAATGGAATTGTATAATTGATTTTATTTATTAAGTTTACGTTATTCGTAACTAATCGGCAAATAAGCCAATAATGAAATACTAGTTTGTGCTTTTGATTGCAATTTTATAGTTTTTAAGTAATGTTTAAGTATTTGTTACCAAAAAAAAAAATTAATCACAAATTGTTAAGATGTTTACAAGTAGACTATACTGAATAAACACTATTTGAGTGCACGGCTTCCATATACAACTATGGTCATTTTAATTTTTACGTGAATTTTAGTTGATTCGTCAATTTGCTTACGTGTTGAGACATATAAAGTTTACTTCAGCTAGGGTTGCCAGAAAATATTTTGGATATTAATGGTGGTTACAGATGATTACAAAATAAAAAACGGGGCAAACAATTACTTAATTTTCTCAGCAATTAAGAATGGTAGATTATTATTAGACCTATCAAAATATTCCTTAATTCCTGTATAATACAGTCCACTCAGTACACAGTCACTCATTTCTGTTCGTTTAAGAGATAATCGAATTTTGGAGACGCGGATACTTTTTGACGGACTGGATAATCACCGTATTATAATAACTAATAAATTACAAACATAGTATTAATAGACCTGGTTAATTTTATAGGCAACATACTGCTTGTAGTAAACAATAAGTTATTACAATTATGAATTTAAACATTTATTAAATTAAACATGTTTGAAGGGATTATAAATGTGTTATTCCATATTATAATATTCATAGGATAATAAAATTACATTTAATAATACAAATATGGTTAATTAAATATTGATGTTGACAACATTTTCCAACATTTGTGCTGCTCTCGACATTTCAGTGGATATTTGCATTCTTTGTGATATAAAATTGAGACGTTTTTTAAGATTGATATCTCCGACGAGTGCGTCGACCGAAGCAATCAATGAAGTCATACCACAAGTGTATGGATTGAGAGTTAAGCCGAGCGCCAATTCCTTAACTCTTTGGGCGCTTTCAAACTGATTGCCAAAAAGAGGCAAAACAATCAAAGGTTTGCCATAATATAGCGCTTCAATTATCGATTGATTACTTCCATTGGAAATAAGGAGATCTATTTGTGGAAGTACTTCAACAATAGGAAGATATGCCTTTCCCCACACGTTTGCCGGCATTTCTAATTCATCTCCAATATTACCAGTAATCATAATATACCGGTGATCGCTATGACTAACATTGTCTATAAGTTTGCGCATTAAGGTCACATCATCTGTACCAACTCGACCCATATTGATTAGTATTAACTTACCACGTTTATCACATAATTTGGCCGGAATGGCAAAGCTGTCATTTCGCGCACAAACCCTACTAAGCAGACTGTCTACACGAAACCAATTTTGAGGCAACAGTGTATTGTTTGAATAATAATCCAACTCTTTAGGCAACACATAAATGTTCAAATACGGAGAATTTATAGTCATGTGGTTTGGCGCAAGTTGTTGTGCACCGACATTCATGTACCAATTGTTTATATCTTGTCGTAATTTTTCAAATATTTCATTGAATTTGACCCCAAATTTATGCCAATCTTTAATATCGCCTTTTAATGACATACCTATAGTTTAAATGAATTGCTTAATATGGAATTGTTTTAAATAATAAATTGTTTAATGTTTTATGAGAATTAATATACAGGTATTATCTTACAAGTGACGGAATAAATATCCTCTGTTGTGTATAAGTAAATGGTGTGTCAATATGTGTATAAGTAAATGGTAGTTATAATTCAAGTGCTGTACAATTAGTTGTTACCTGAGAATGGAGGCGGTAATGTCGGGTCATTGAGAGCGAGTAGAGGTGCTTCAGATGTGAGACATACGTAAGGTATGCCACAAGTGATAATTGCAGGCGAGTATATAGAGGCGTCCACAACGATCACGTCGGGTTTTATGGCTTGGATTACACTGCGATAGTGTTGATCCAATGATTTGCATTCACGCAATTCATTGGCCATTTTCTTGACACCATAACCGCCAAAGATGTGCATTGAATTGCCTTTAAGTGCTTCAGCATTAT